TTCCATTTAACAATGTTTAATCAAATTGTTCCGTGACATTGGTTAAAATTGTTACAATGTGTCAGCATTCCCATTATTTCCTTTCTGTTTGTTCTGTTTCTATTGATCTATGTCCCCTGCCCTTCCTTGCCTACTCATTTTTGCTTTTGAGTAAATGTTGACCATTTGGTATCATACAGTCAATTGTTTAAGGGATTACATTACTCATGGGTGACATTTTTATTTTATAAGTCAATCTAATTATTTGGTTGAAAGGTAACCTCCAGGAGTGGCTTTAGCTCCAAGTTCAAAGGGTATCCTAGGGTGATAGTCTCAGGGGTACCTCTAGTCTCTATTGGTCCAGTCAATCTGGTCTTTTTTAGGAATTTGAATTTGACACAAGTGTATTTTTTGCTCATAATCAGTAAAATTTTGCTTAGGCCTTTGTCTCTCCAGGGAAGAATAGTAATAAACTCTTCCGATTTTCTTTCCCCAGGAAAATGGATTCAGCCTTCCAAAAGGAACTCACTTGCTTCATCTGCTTGAACTACCTTACAGACCCCATCACCATAGGCTGTGGGCACAGCTTCTGTAGGCCCTGTCTCTGCCTTTCCTGGGAAGAAGCTGAAACTCCTGCCCGTTGCCCCCTGTGCAGGGAAACATCAGAGCAGACAGAGTTCAAAACCAATATTCTTGTGAAGAATCTGGTGTCACTTGTCAGACAAGACAGTCTCTGTCAATTTCTGAGCTCTGAGGAACAGATGTGTAGGACACACAAGGAGACAAAGAAGATGTTCTGTGAGGAGAACAAGAACTTGCTCTGTTTGCTCTGCTCTAACTCTCCAGAGCATGAGGCTCACAGACACTGTACCATAAAATGTGCTGTTGAGGAATACCGGGTAAGTGATGCGTCTGAAAGCACTTTGAAAGCTGGACGGTAATAGAGCTAAGACAGTATAAGAAAGATGGGAAACGTGATGATGATTAATCCACTTGTTACTGAAAGTCTAATATGTGTCAGGCACTATTCTAGGCACTAAGGATAAAGGTGTGAATAAAACACATAAACATACCTGCCT